TATTATTATATATACTTACTAATATATAAATAAAGTCTGTGAGTCTTTTAGTGTTGCTCTTATGTGTATGTGTTTAGGGCTGATCACTTAGGATTAGATAACCTATCAGGGGGCTTGTTCCTGGAGAAGACTGATTCTAGCTTCTCTTAGCAGCTATTAATTGCCTGTAGCTCTTACTTCAAAAATCCATAAGTCACAAACAACTTTACAGATGAAATATTTGCACTGTGTACTTCCTCTTTGAACTCCTGTGTTAATGACACAGCATGACAGGAGTTTGCTCCTGGGGAAACACTTATTCCTCAGCAGTGCAGACTGATGAAAAACCTTGTTAATGTATTTGAAAACACAATACATAGTAAAACTATTTTCTCCATATGCAAACCCAATGTCTATTAATGTAAGAAATAACCACATTTGAGGATTACTACTAAGATGGAATGTGTCTAGTTCATAGTAGATACTAAATAATGGTAGCTGTTGTTATGAAATTCAATAATCACTGACCAGAATTGTGAGACATAGCATGATAAACTGGAAGTTTAACTGGGCTTGAAGAGGTTCATTATGGATGATTGAATCTATCCTTATGGACTTTGTGAGGAGACAGATTCTGTTCCCATGCCTCCAGAGGAGAGGAAAGCAAAAAAAAAAAAAAAAAAAAAAAAAAAAAAAACCGAAAAGCCTGGACAAAGGTGAAATTGGGCACAGCCAAATTAGTACCTCCAGACTACCTCCAACGCCATGGAGTGCTTCAGCTTACACTTATGAGAACACTGCCACTGTTACACTCATGGGCAACCATCTATATGTCATCTCTGCATCACCTAAGTGAATTATTCCTGTGAAACAGTACTGTACCAAGCCCCACTGAAGGCAGCAAACTGCTGGGTTTCCTGCTTTTCAGGAGTTTTGGGATACTCATGAAATCCTTGTTGAAATTGGACCAGAAGGGATTGGAGTGTGTTGTGGGATATTTTCACTGTATGAAGATATATTGCTGTGATTGGTTTAATAAAGAGCTGAACAGTCAGTAACTAGGCAGGAGGTATAGGCGGGATTTCCTGGCAGAGAGAGGAAGGAGGATGAGATAACTGAGGCATGGAGGAGATACTACTGAGACATGGAAGGAATCAGACATACAGAATGAAAGAAAGGTAAAAAGCCACACAATGGAACAAAGATATAAAAATATGGGTTAATTTAAGTTAAAGGGACTAGTGGAACAAGCCTAAGCTAAGGCTGAGCTTTCGTAATTAATATTAAGTCTCCATGTCATTATTTTGGGCTGGAAGTCCAAAGGAAAGTCTGATTACAGGGGTGGAAGTTGGAATTTATCAAAACACACAGCATGTATATATGAAAGTCTTAGACAATAAGTATCAACTTATATATTTGGGATCATACAAGCATGCCAGGAACACCAGGGAACATCAAAACATCAAACCAAGGAAAGGGTGCAATACCTTCACCTGGACCCCATAGAGAGAAAGATACTTAACATAGCAATAGTGACAGCCCTGTTGACCTGACATCTGAGCACCCAGAATGTAAATCAAAGTGACTGGCAATGAACTACCAGATGTCCCAGGGAATTCATCTTAGTTGCGCTTCCACTGCTAATGCAGCCTACTTTAATTACCATCAGTCTGTCTGCCCACTTGCCATTCATCCATCAAGACCTGGTTCTGTGCCTCAGCTCCATGGCCATCACTATCCTGCATCTCACCTACATAGCTCAACCCTGAAGATCCTTCCAGTCTGACTCTGTGGCTTGACTCTGTAGTACATCTCCAACCAATCGCCAACAAGGTTTGTTATTCCACCCTCCAACCTCACTCCCATCCTTGCAAAGGGAACTTTGCATTCATATCAGCTTCTTGCTACTTCCTTTCAGTTAGGTTTCCTGGAACTCTGCTATAGCCTCTTTGTAGCAGGAATTTTAGGGAGTCTTATTAATAAAACAAACCCAGAGCCAAGTATTGGGGTGAAGCTGAGAGAGACAGAAAAAGCCACAGCTAGCTCACCTCGCCGGATCCTCAGCTGGTCTTGTTTCCTCAGACTGGAGGCCTCTGAGTCCTCATCCAGAATGGGTCTCAGCTGAACTGTGCTGCTAGAAGCCTGAAAGCTTAACCAGCCAAATGCTTAACCAGCCAAATGCTTCTTGTTTCTGGTCCTCACGCCTTATATATCTTTCTGCTTTCTGCCTCACTCCCTGGGATTAAAGGCTTGCTTTCTGGGATTAAAGGTGTGATGAGTCACCATGCCTGTCTGTATCCTTGAACACATGGATTTCTGCCTCTGGAATGCTAGGATTCCAGGCAGTGTGCTACCACTGCCTATCCTTTATGTTTAATATTGTGGCTGCTCTGTCTCTGACCCCAGATAAGTTTATTAGCATGCACAATATTTGGGGGAATACAATACCACACCTCTTTAACTCTTTTATAGCTATGCTGTAACATATACATACATACATATATATATATACATCTATATATTATAGACAGATATAGTGAATGATGTGTAGTGTGTGACCTAAAAATTAATATTAATAAAAATCTGGGAAAGAAGGAAGACTACTTGGCAAATTGCAGCCAATAAAATTGAAGCAGCTTGTTAATCTATTGTTCTTAAGCAAATTCTGATATTGTGAAAATATGCAAATGTGCCTGTTTCTGATACAGCTTGCTCATGACACTCCCCAGAACAGAAAACAGAGGATTTCCTCTGGGGCAGGCAGGGGTGGGGGTAATTGTGGACAAGAAAACCCTGTTGTTATCTGTACTAGAATGAAACTTAAAACCCTTGGCAGTGATCACATGATTATATTCCAGATCTGCCTTCCCTAACTGATGATGGCATGTGGCTTTTTTTGTGAACATATTTTTCTCATCTGAAAATAGTTTTCCTTCTAACTCTTATCCATTTAACTATTTCCGTTTTGATGTCCTGACCACTTAACTAATAAATATGCTCTCATTATTGTACCTTTTCCTATAGATATCATGTCTTTATAAATTAACTCTATTCTAAAGGATTTATCTGTTAGCACTTTGTTTTAACGACAAAAGTTTCAAGTTCATTTAAGAAATTTT